CTGAAAAGCAATATATAAAGAATTTACAAAAGAGCAGATATCTTGACTCATTACTCGCGGATTATTGTTAAGTATAATGTCACGTACCGAGTATATAGGTGCTTACTCTGAAATGTAATACTCTTTGTTTCGTCATTTACTAGGGCACAAAATACGTTCCGCAATTAAATATTTTACTTTTAATATAGTTAAGTATTTATTAAAAGCTTTGCATAGTACTGGGAGTATTACGAGAAGAGCCACCGAAACACAAATCAATTTTTAAAACTCAGAATTTTCAATATGGCTGTCTTAGACACAAACTCTACCTGTAAATCGGTTGAAGAATTAGTCATATATTATATGAATGTGAACCTGTGGAACCTTTTTCTTCGAGTGCATCAATATCTCGGCAGAAACTGGCCTGCGAAGTACCCTATACTGACAAGTCAAATGGACTTGCTTTAGGTGGTAACTTTGACGTGGGGCCTGATGGCAACGCAAATGATCACAAATAGTGGTGCTACATATCTTGTAGTCATTCGAATGCCGTGATTTTCGTAGATGTCTTTAATCATATGTATAAATATTGTTTCATGTTTTAATAAATTTAATTGAATCACTCTGTATTATGATAAGTGGAATCGGGTTATTACAATATGTAAGAAACGGGTTTAACTATGTTAAGAACTATCAACAAATTTTATAAAAGCTTTAAAAAAAGTAATTTATAATAAAGTAATATATAATATATTAAATTTTATCTCATATAGTAATTTCCAAGTGCTTTTCGATAATGACACAGTGCACTTCATAATTTGACTGCTTTCAGGAAAAGATTTACTCACAAATTATTTGAAATTACTGTTGTTTAGCAAATGAAGTTAATTAAGTTCAATTAACTTAATTACGTAAATATATTGATGTAAATTAATATTATAAGACTAAATCACCTTTAATTACACTTTTCATAAATATTCATAAATATCAGTATTTAATGCAAAAGTGATTATTATATATTTAAATAGAACATATAAAAATATAATAAGAATATATCGTTTAATATATGTACATATATATATAAACAGTTCTAATTAAATATTTCTATACAACCATAATTATACGATATAGGTATATGCAGTTCTTGAATATTTAGCAGTAAAATCATTACTTCACTAAGAGTATTTATTTGTAAAGAATCAAATAAAAATAAAAACAAATTTATTAATAATTTGATTTAATAATATCTTTATAATTATTCCCTTCAATTTTAATGTTCTTGAAATATGTCTCTGCCTGCCTTGATCCACACACACATCATTACAATTTCAAGTCGGGCTTTGATAATTTCTGAGTTTGTTTTGTCCCGATGTTGATTTTCGATACAACGATTTTCGATCTCTCTAGTCCACACATTGCTTGAAGCTTGAATTTATTAAGATATGTTTAGAGAAATATCCGTAAACAGTTTCCATGATGAGCCATTTAACATCATATATACCAGTCAGATTAATTTTGTTAGGATTTCTCTCAATTGCAGCGCTTCTACAATTTCTGACCTTATAACTTGCCGAAAACCTGTTTGTAGTCTATAAATAGAAACTGTCCCAGCGAAAAAAATTAAATCCATATGGAAGTACTCAATTAATTCGCCTATTAGTTGTCTAAGTTTGTATATTTCTATAGGAAACTAAATTGTATAATCCACATCTAAAATAGATTATAGTCTATAATTACAATTAGTTTTTCAAGTTCTTGACTTTAGCTCTTCAATATTATTTTTAAGTTATTCAATACCTGACCTATAAAGTATAATTTAAAATTTACTCGGATCTGTAACTTCAGATCTATAAATATAAATTGTTAACTTTCACACATATAATAATAATATATTTCTAATTATATTAATTATATATAAGAGTAAAAAAAATTTTAAACTAGTAGTTTAGTTCTTTTTCGTTCTAATCAGATATCTGATTCAGATATCAGATATCAGATATTACGAGTGTATATTTTTTAAGATATCTTCGAGATTGCGTCGAGTTAATTGTATTAACTAAAATTACTAGAAATGAAAATAATATAATAAATTTATATTTTTTGTTACGCAACAATCAACATAAGTTTTTAATTCTAACGAATTAAAAAAAAAAATTTTATATGAATAATTCATAAATTGTAGAGGAATTTTTTCATTAAAATTCATTACTAGTCGATATTTGCGTAAGTACGTAGCACTTTATGCCGCCAAAAAAGAAATGGAAAAATGATTATTATTTAAATTTACTTTCAGAGAAATCAAGCATTTGATATAATTAAATATATCAGTAAATTTATTGAATATTATAAAAATTCCTCTAGTATATTTTTTAAATTGAAGTTATTAAAGTCAGTCTGTGTACTTTTATTAAGTTTTATAACGAATTCAATTAACTAATAGTTACTTATTAACTAACTACGACTGTTGTTGATATTTACTACTCAAATAATAAATTGTTTGAATCTTTAGGAAAATATTTGTTAAGTTTATTTTTGATATATTGCCTGATGTATCTGAATAATATGGTACTAATAGAATACGGTTTTAGAATTTAGAGCTTTCTTCTTTCTGATCAAAATTCAGCGATTATTACTGGCGACTAGTTCAATCAAATATATTGTATGCAGTAACTAGTGAATGCTGCTACTGAAATGTATTTGGTTAACTACATTCTCGACAGTTCTAGAGATTGTAATCATCGTGCTTTAGGCATTAGATTATGTGTAAAACTTTTTAGTTTAGTTAACTTTTTTAAAATTGTGCAAATCAAGTTTCGGTTGAAATGGTCCTTTATTCGTTCATTTACTGCTATTTATCATAAGCTATTCAGCCTGATATCTTCAATTCTGCTGAGCATTTTCATGCTCAGAAGTAGGTTCTATTATTGACTGGTACCCTTAAAGATTTGTTCTGGTTTTTATTCTATGCATTTTCCAAAGATTGTCCGCAGTCGCTCGATAACTTTCAACTATATTTTACTATGTCGATAAAAAATAAATTGCGACCAGGTTATTAAAAAAAGCTGATTTGTTTGGCGTGGGGAAACACATTAAATCTGCTATTTATTTCTATTAAAATACTTTATATCATATATTATATAATTACGGAAACAAATTTTATAAAAACGTTAACGAATATATTTTGCGATTTCTCACAAGTACAGAGCTTATTGGTTTCTATTTAAGTTTCACATTTAAGTTTAAACAGGAATTGTTAAATTATAAAATTCATTAATAAAAAATTTATGAAATTATACTGTTTGTCATACACAGCGATTAATCATATATTAATTTGTTTATAATTTGCTACATAATGTCGATGCATTTTAATTTTACACATTTGGCAACGCGATATTTCTTATGTGGCCGTGTGCAAAGCATTGGCAACATGAAAAGTTCTAATAACACACACACACATGCAAAGCGAGATAACTGATATGAATTGCTCTCAGAGCGTAGATCGAGAGAAAAGTGGAAACGTCAAATACAGAAGTTTGTAAATAAGGCAAAGTTACAAAAATAAAATGTAATTTCTGTTCATAACAAAGGGACAAAGGTTGTTTCATCGATAATAAAAATGTACGTGGTACGCTTCGTATGCTTCTGAAAGTTATCAGTAAAGAAATCAATATCAATAAAAATATTTTATTATTTTTTAAAATATACATATTATAGTTCAGCTGACAAACAATATAATTATATAAACCTTTATTAATCAAACCAGTTGTAGATTAATATAATCCTTACATATTCACATTGCAGTTAAAATGTATTTTAATTATATATAATTTTACAGCTTGAGGCTTCTTCAATGTTAATCAACAACAAAATAACGCTTTATTGCTCGAATATAGTAATTTCATTTAAAACTTAATTTATTTTCTATTTGATAATTTTCTCTACAAATTATTAATATTCTCTACAAATTACATGGCATTAAATTTTTTAATAGAGGCATTAGGAGGGAAGTTGATTTCAAAATGATGTTATATATTTCTAATTTATACTAAGTAGGGTTTATGGAGTAATTTCTGATTCTATTCATTGTTTGGAATGATATACGAAATATTTTATTTTATATTTTAAAAATTTAAAATATTTAATAAACGATAATTACACTCTTATGTGTTGTATACTTGGCATAATTGAATTTAAAATATTATGTACATATATGTTTATGTTTTTTTAATGCTTTTCATTGACGAACAATTTATTTCGAGTATATTTCAATTCATTCCTAATATATAAAATCAGTTATTAAGATAAACTATAATTTTAATATACGAAAAATTATATTTTTGTAGAGCTTATATTAAAAATCATTGAAGTAAAATATAAGACACCACGCAGAGGAGACAATTTCAAATTCTGTCAACTTTTCATTAATTTTGAGTAATATATTAGGAATAACTTAGCAATTCGAATATTGAACCATTCTAAGAAGTAAGGATTAGTGCCGATGACAGATGACAAACAAATTCAGTCATCTGTCATCTGTGTGGGGCACAATATTGCACTCGGGTAGAGAAATCAGGACATAGTTATTCAGATAAATTATGTTATATCATATAATAATAATAATAACAATAGATGTATAAAGGTAGTGCATTAAACCACATTGTAGCAGAGGTGAAATCTAAATTTTAATCGCATTGAGCGCTGGAATACCAGAGTATGCATTTTGTTATTGCCACTGTGCACTGCTCTACTCTTACTCTAGAGGTTGAACAATCCCTGATATGCTTTGCAAAAATTTTAAAAATTTCAGAATATTATTTAATACCACATATTAAAAAACCTAATAAATAAAATTAATTATGTATTTAAAATAATTTAAATTTAAAAGCATATAAAATTATTATTGATAATAATGTAACAAATTCCGAGTGCATATTCAGAGTTTATTGACTTTTAAATACAAAACAGTTGAATTGATTTATATAAAGAAAACATATATAAAAACAAAAAAAAATTAGACTTACTGCTTCGGTTCCCTTCCTTGACTCGATATGTCAAATTGTGAAATGCCAAATCGACGGCGGGTCGTTTGGGCAAATGCTGCAATGTTTTTGGCTGGGCAGGTACGATTTGTGTCTTGAGATTGGCTCCACTACCGTTGTCGCTGCCCCCGCCGCTGGACACAATAACAGCATGCTGCCTGTTGTCGTTCAAAAGGTTTTTATTAACACCATCGTTTTGTACCATTTTAATGTTTTTTAGTGTTTTTCTTTTTTAAATACTTATATATATTTAAATTTGTTTGGTAAACACAACAATTATAATTATAAATATATTATCAATTATTTAAAGATTTCTTAAAGATCAGCACCACTAAGTTGAAAACCATAACAAAAAATAAAAGCAGTTACAATGGATTCTTCTAATGGATATGTCGAAAGGGGCAACTACACATTTTATTAAAAATTTCCATAAGGTATTTTTCTACCGACACAAAATTAAGAACCAAATTTGTCTTTGTTGCTGGTTAGGATATAAATTTATGATTTCAAAAAAAATTGAACACAACACAGCTTTTAAAACAATTTTATTTTAAAATATTAATAATATTTTGTTTTAAAATTCCCGTTGGTTAATTTTAACATTCGTTAAATTCTTTTTGCTTTCTGCTCAACTTCAACCCCCGACAAGTTTATTCTTCTCCAACCTAGCGAGCGATCACTACTAATTTCAGCGATAAATGTTCCGCACACAAAAGTCAAACAAGAAATAACTCAAACACAACACACAGCGATAATAACCACAGAGCAACTACACAACTGCAACAAAGCAATCACAAAGTTCTTTCCATACTTTTTGTTTTTGTATTATTTTTTTTCTTCTTAAACATTATGTTTTCTTTATTTTATTTTGCTGCGCCATTCATATTGAACTGTATGTTAATTTTACTGTGTGTGTGTGTGTATATATATATTGCGTAGTAGTTGAGACGTAGCTGAGTTTTTAATCTGGTTCGTATGCAGCATTTTAATAGTAATTGGCAACTCTAATACTCTCAATATTTCTATATGCAATGTATGAGAATTAGTCGCATTTGTTTTGTGGCTTTTCTTGAAAAAATATCTGCAACGAATTTGTTGATCTTTGCAATAATTCGATTTTTGCAGTCTTTCTTTAACGTTGAAATAAATATTTTGTGCATAGTTACAAGTAAAGCATAATTCACTTAATGCAATTGTTACAAACTAACGAAATAATGCACACACAATAAATTATAACCAAATGCAGCTTAAAATGTCGAGAAATACGGGAAATATCCAATAAGAATTTCGTACAGCCGGCGTTTTACAATTGGAATTGTTCTTGTTTTCTATGTAAGTTAGTGCATGGGATGAAATGGAATTGCATTTAATTTGTGGATTAATTTGGATTAATTGAAATTTTTAAAGTTATTAAAGATTCTTGTGCGGTGTATTGGAATAATATCTTTCCCTGTTTAAACAAGCAAATACGAATCTAATCCTTAAACGGTTTGCTTCTTTAACGGCAAGCAATTAGGCAAGAGGAGGTTTCGGTAAATCAGCAAGGCCATATTAGGCTGTTTATTATTTTACAAGAAAATTAAAATTCTTTTTACACAATTTTAAAATAATACTATTAATAATAATATAAGAAAATCAGATTCTTACATATATTCAAACACGCCTCTTCAGCTTCTTATACTAGAATCCACAAGTGTGTGGATTCTGAGTGGGCAATGTCGCCCACTCAACTTTACACTGTAATGTAAATTATGATAAATAAATATTTTTTTCTTTAGTTAAAGCTTTAATTAGCTGAGTACATACATTTTCTGCAGAAATTAAATTAATTTGTTATTAATAATTTATTATGTTATTAATAATTTTTAGCAAACATTTTCTGGAATATTTCTCTGAGATTGAAATGGGCTTTATACAAACTTCAAAGTGTAATATGTTAAGTCTATGACTCTATATTTGGTAAAATTGCTAGTTTAAATACCTCAGCTGATTAACGGTGCATTTGAATTTGTCTTCATATCACACATTTCTTTTATAATGCAATTTAAGTATATTATTATAGGCGAGGTTAATTTAATAGACATTGAGTCGAAACGGTTACTTATTTTTATAACATCTCTGATATGATAAAAATATTGGTTCATATAAGCCTTAAAAAAATTTAGAAGAAGTATCTCTATTAGAAAGTAACTCTCTTCTTTCACTTTGTGTGTTTGTTCAATTATGCTTTAAGTCCGAAGACAAAACTTCTCAATATCATCGGTGATCAGGATGATCAGGTGATCTTAGTAAAAAGAAATTCTTGACTACGTTAAGCTTTCTGTTGACTAAGGCAGTTAGGTTCTACTCTATTGATAGCTTCTGCTTCTTGTTTATCGAAATTATTATTCAGTATTTCTTACATAAATCGTTTACATTAATAAATGTTTATCGGAATCTCATAAGACAGTATTATACGTTACTTATGTCATATATTATATGTAAAAAAAAATATTCCAAGAATCATAATAATATTAATATTATGAATGTTATTGGATCTTTTCTAAGTTATTGTAATAATTGTTAATATACTTGCCTACATTTGCTAATTAATAAAAAAAATTCATTGGGAAACAGATAGATTTAGCAGCCAAACAAATTACAATAACTCTATTTAATATATCCATCGTTTTATTATCAAAGGCCAGGGTTTTAATGTCGCAATCACATTCTTAAATAACATGATTGGTTCTCCCATCAACATCTGTGTAAACCTCAGACGATCGGATTAAAGTTGTTATCGGAATCTAGTTGGAGCTTATCTGCAGTGATATCAAGAAAATTTATACATTTATACATTACATTGTAACATTTAAATAAAACCCGTCAAGTTAAGCTTTTGTTTTAATAAAACAAATAAATAAACAGTATTCAAAATTATCAATATATTTTCATTACACGTGTGCCATTCATTTTCTGTTTCAGGATGCTTGTCCGGATGCTTACACTAATAAGTGAGAGGTTCTTATAAAGTAAACCTTTTCTCAGGTTTTCAGACAGGACGGGTCACTGTTCTGTTAAATATAACGATTAAGAAACATTTCGTACTCTGAGACAAAGTAAGGATTGTCGATCTCGTTACACTTCCTAAAGACCGAAAATTTGACCGAAATATATGGTAAATATTTTCTAACATCTCAACACAGATAATACTACATCAGTTAATAAAAATTAAAAAAACTATTATACTACTCTGACGGTGCAGTTCTCATTTAAAACAACGAAAAGTCTCTGATGTCACAGTTCTCATTTGGGACAATAAAGTTGACCAGTATCGATCACCTTGAATTTTCAAATATCAAACATTTACCATGCAGGCATCTACATGATAAAACTAAGTATAATATGACAATCATTGCTGTGCCAATTAATGGGTACACATCAATATATCGAGGAAGTCATGTTTAAGCACAAAACGTAACTCGAATATCAGAACGACTAAAGAACGTTATAAAAGGTGTTAAAGGCAAAGTACATACATAAAAGCCTTGTGCACTGTTCTGCCGTAAACAATGGAGACCACGACTGTTCTCCAAATACTATACAAATATTCGTTCTAATAGCGTGATAGCGCTAGCAATCGTTATTTGTGTTTAAACGAAAACCCTAAGCGAACCAATATAAAAATTTTAATTAAATCGGAATGAAAAAAAATCCGAGTCAAGGTCTTGATCATGACATTTGATCAATCATCTCCTACCTGACTATTCATTTTATTAATTATTGTTCTCCCCCAACATTTTAGCTCTTATTGTTGTTGTGACCTGGAGATATCTGCAATTTTGGATTCTATTGGGAACGTTGCGTGCTGATTGGTTGCTACTGGAACATCTTAAATAAGATTGCTTTCTTCACATAACATTTTGTTACTTTAATGAGTTTGTAGTATACACTTAGGCGCACTCAAGACATTAAATAATAGTTCTGAAGTTGTTGGTATATGTTTATTAAAAATTATATTTTTCTTAAACAGTTTCCAATCGCTGATTTTCCTTTAATTAATATTTATATATATGTATATATGTTATATATGTTATATATGTGTATATATATGTCAATATTTATTCGGTGACCCGTCTGTCCAATCGATTGGCTGGTTGGTTTCTAGTTTAACACAAAGTACTATGTTTTAGTGATGATCGAACTCAGAAACGCGTGATAGACGGATGTCTTTGAGACTAATCTACGATCGATAATAGAGTAGCGCTTCAAACATAAACATTATTTAGATTGTCTGCCACTGTGTGGACGGACTTGCATTTAGAATTTAGTGGGTGTGATAAGAATTATAGTACAATACAGCTCAAGTTTGTTCTTTGTGTAAATAAAACTAACAGTTTAAAGTGATTAGCTTTCAATGATTTCAATTTGAAACAACAAATTCCACCTATCATGCATTTTGAAATTAAATTCTCATCAAGTGCTTGCGTTTCTCCATTATACTTGCATACACTTTCCAATAAAAAATCTTAAACACGGAACTGTGATTCTAAACGTTTAAGTGTACTATAACTATATATGATGCGATTACAGTCGAGCTTGTTGAATACGAGTATATATTTTACATTTGGTACAAGCAGATTTCCGGCTCCGATCAAAGTTCACGCATTGAATGCACACGAGTCGGTAAACTGAAAATTTCATTGCTGTCGGAAGGCAATTATTCCATTGACATACACGTCGTGCTCCGAGATTTCAAAAAGCAATTCAATTCGTAGAAAACAACTACAAGTCTTTACTTAGAATTTCACTTGAACGCAAGTAAGTGCATTACATTCCGGGAAACTTGATTAAATTTATATACTTTTTGATACTTTATTTTATTAAATCAAATATATAAGTTTGAACTTTGAACAAAGTCGTGATTAAGTACGTAGGGTATTAGGAAATTATTTGGACCAAACGAGCCTACTCAAAGCAGTTAAATTGATCAATTTTTGTCTTCTAAAATGTATTAATCTTCACTAAATGAAAATCTGTTTATGATTATTATGTATATATGTACATATGTGTATGTATAAAGTCGGAGGGTGTGTGAATTCTCTGAGGAACGTGACCTTAAACTGTGATATTTACCTTTTTTTGTGACAGCCTAATATTTACCATAAGGTCTAAAGTTCTCTGAGAATATTGTATGTCTTTGAACGAAATGTCACTACATTCATTGTTTACTCAAAGATGGATATGGTTCAGGGGACATAACCGACAATTGTAAACGGGTCTAAAGTGCCACACGAGTTTTCACAAGATCAATTCTAATAGATATAGGCAAACATTTACCGTATGCTTCGAAAACAATAGCTAATGTCATTTATACCCAAACTGATGAAGTTGAAGAGACACTTATGGAAGGGATACTCTAGGGTAGATACACTAGATGATAACTAATTTAATTAATTTCTGTAAATCGTACTGTGCAAGTGTATGGCTATTACTTTCACTTAAGCTGTAAAATTGCATTTATAACGTTACATTTTATTGGAATATATAATATTAATTTATAATCATTAATATATACGCATAGCACATGATAGATAGTTGATCGATATGTTAATTGCAGCAGTCAATACCATTGGCAGCTTATGGTATACTGATTTGAGCGAGGCAAACTTCATCATTACTAAATGCAATGAAATGATTTAAGAAGCAAACATATTTTCAGATTTTAATCTAATGCATTCGTATACAGATACCTATATAGGTATAGATAAATAGATAAAAGGCATGAGGTGATAAAAACTAAAACAATGTAAGAACAGTAGAATTATTGTAAACATACTGCATTATTATATGTTAGCTTATAACATAATAGTTTGTTTATATGTTTTTTGGTTGATTGGTAAAACACATATAACATAGGTATGAGTGAATCTATAAATCCATCTACTAATCATGAAAGCAATAAGTGAAGCGCATAGCGGACTTAATAATTTAATTAGCACTCTTGTGATTTTTCGTACATGTCGAAAAGTGTAGTGACAGTTAAGTGAATGCCATGCATACGGTAACAGGTATGCGTTTCTTTAGAGTTACAGTGCCGAAAAAAATGAAACTCGTTTTCGTCAAAGCGGCTTCTTAACAAATTTTTTACCGATAGCTTCATAACCTTGACAATGAACCTGATTAAAAATACTCGAAACGTAATAAACAGTAGAAAACGGCAACCGAAAACCTCAAGTAACTGAGGTAACTGAAGTAACTGAAGTAACTTGTCTGGTCTGGTCAGGTCTGGTCTTGTTTTTGTAGGTGTTTTGTTGTAGTCAATCAACTCAATTAAATGACCGATATCCAGACAAACTTACAAACAAAGCTATTCAATTAAATCGATCTATCTCGTTCAACTGATTAAAAATATTCATAAATGTTTTATATCGTGCTCAACGTATATATGCATATATCTTCTCTGTAACATATTACAAAAAAACTAACGAACAAATCTAATATAATTTTTATTTTCAATAGCCTGAAAGGCATAAAGAAGGAAGAAAAATGAATTCTGTACAAACAAAATCGTGAAATGCATTATTTTTAAAGACACGTGTATTTTAGATTAATTCTGTATTATGAACCAAACTCATGCTCTTCCAAGTAATTTAAAGTATCGAAAATGCAGATACAAGTTAGTTGAAAAATACCCAGAAAGATTTTGAACACAAATTTTTAAACTTCTAAGTATAGAACACATTGATCTATATCGATTTCTGTGCCAAGAATTTCTAAAACTCCACTTTTTGAGAGTATCGATATGAGTTAGCATAGATACTCGTAGGAACACACACACCATTAACCTTATATATATATACTGTTCCAAAATTGCTTATTATGCTTGAAAACATTTGGAGTGTTCTAAAAAGTTAAATATCCTTTGCTAAAATGATTAGATATGGATCGATTAGATATGGTTTCCAGGTCACACTAGAATTGCAGACGAACTTGCCAAGAAAGGGATGGCAAGACGGCTTGTAGTCCCGAAACCAATATGTGGCTTGAGAGTAGGTAGTTTCTTATCACCTTCCTCATTTGGAAAAACGAGTAAATATAAATATAAAGAGGTTTTCACAATTAAAATTCTTATAGTCTGTCAATCTAAAACTATTTACAGTTTGTGTATAACTAATTAAAAATAATTTAAAAATCATTGCAGGAACTTTGACAGGGCACTGTAGATTAAACTATGTTCTTGCAAAACAGGAAACTTACCTGATACTGATATTTGCCTGATACTGATATGTAAACGAAAGAATTACCTAGGCAGAGATTTCATACACGACGAAGCAATAAAACTCTCTCGTGTAGGTAATTATTTCATAATTATCTTATATCTGTATGTATGCCAATATCCGTTTGATATTAGCCGTATGTTAGATACGAAATAGCAAATACGTTACAAATACGTTACTTCAAGTGGTAGTATGACTTCGTCTTTATTAGAAGATTGAAGCACCTCTCTTAGTATATCATCTTCACAAAAACGAGTATTAAAAAATTTGCATATGTTGTGTATTTTCTTAGAAAGCTGATTGTTTTCTTGAAGAACAGATTCCAAATAAATATATTTATAAACAAATGCAAAAATATATTTGTACTTATTTTTATTCCTGCCTTTCGCCCTAAAGCATTTCTAGAATAAATTTTTACATAATTTTGAAATGCATTTCCGTCCTTTGTAAAATGTTCTCAAAGCATGTAATGTTTCTAGAACTTAAGCCTTAAGCGCTTGTAGTTTTGTATTTGAGTAAAAATAAGTAGATAGAATATCTGTCTATTTTTTTAGAAACTTAACACTTAAGACTCAAACTTAAGACTTGTAGTAATTGAGGCATAAATAAGCCTCAAGAAGAGTCAATGGAAAAATAAGAAAATTAGAGACGCAAATGCAGGTCTCACTTACACTTGCTAGATTTCTCTGGAATGATACGTTAGAGAGCTTCTTTCTGTGTAAGTCTAAATTCTGCAGTGGGCGTGAAGAAGTATATTAAATATTCTTATTTTTGCTTGTACGTTCTACGTGATGTTCTGTATTATTCATATTTCTTCAATATTTGTTGCTTAACCATTTATTATTTATTATTTTTATTGCACGAAAATAGTTTAAGATTGTTTAAGAGTTTTGCCTTAAAAAGTTCAATTAACTAAAATTTTAGCATTGAACTTTTATAGCCGCAAAGTTGTGTTCTTCCAGTAATAAAAAATAATTTCATTATCAATATCAAAAGAACATTTCAGTTATGTTATCTTTATGTCAATGCTCGTAAATGATAAGCACCCCGATTAAATTTGTATTATTTAAAAAATCCAAAAAAAACAATAATTTCCAATATGACTGACAAGTATTTGGTTTCTGATACAACACTTCTACGGACTACACTACATATAAAAAGCAGCTGTGGTCGTAGCTGTGCCCACAGCTGTGCTAAAGTAATCCAATCTACACTTACCTATCTTTTTATGACTGTTATCAATATTACTGTTATATAAGGAACAATGGGACAAAGTAAACTCGTGGATGTTTAGTTTAGTTGTATTGAAGTGAGTTTAGTTATTATCTTGAGAATTTCATTCAATTAGGTCTCCTGTGAATTAGAATTTTTCAAGTAGTCAGTCACACTTTTATGACTAATTTTTTGGTTGCTACCACAATAAACGACCTTTTGAAGTTACAAATTTCATTAACTTTTTATCAAGCTACAAATACAATTCGTACCGATAATCTATGTGCGAAGTAATGTCTTCCCATAAGTCCAACTATTTTTAAGTGCTCGTATTTGTTTAAATAATTATTTTTGCTCAGCATTTCGGATATTATCTTATGTGTTTGTACTCTTGCGAAACATACAAGTCAGCGAGTATATAAATAAAATTTAATAAAGTTTTGGACTTTGGAATATATTATTTCTTATCGGCCCCTATTAAACTGGACATTGTAGTTATGACGATAACATAGTTTATGTTGTTTCATGCATGTGATATCTTTTATCAAACATTTTCATATATTTTTACCATTGATAATTTTCTACTTAATGTTAGTTAAATTAAATTAATTGAGAAAACTGACCAACTATTATTATTATTAGAAGGGCAAGCTAATGGCTTTGATATCTTGCCATGAGAATAAACGACTTTGTATAGGCTTGTAAGATGAAATTCCAAACATTCTGTTTAAAATAAAGTAATTATCTCTTGTAAGATCCTAAAAATGTTCTGGAGTACTTGTAGTGAATATTAATTAAAAGTCCTTATTCATTACTTATCCTTACGTATTGTAATGTATTGTAGTGTCTAACAAATGCACAGTCACAAGTTTAGAACTACACTTTTGAGAGTACAAACCTATAAATAATAATTTGTGACTACATTAAACCTTTCTTAGTTCTAGATTGATCCAAGATTGATATCTTATTATATTCGAATGAAACTCGTTAAGATATTGGAATCGTTTCTCGTTAATTACTTCTCATGAACAGATAACATGGGCGGTAAGTTTCATTCGACATTTTGGGGTTGGAGTTGGAGTTGTGGGAGTTAGAGTCTATTAGTTTTAATAGATTCTATAATAATGAAGATGGCAATTGTCAGTAGTGTGTACTCGTACCATTAAGAAACTGGTTATTTATGTGAGTTTATATCTATTTTAACATTAAGAAACTTATTAACATTTTTTTTGTACCCTCCAATGAATTGATCAATGGAAATGATCAAAGCCTTCAGAGAGAGAGTTTATATTTGATGTAGCGCTATAGTAGTGCCATCAATTTTTTGGCTCTTCTTAAAAAATATTTTTCAAAAAGTTCATTATTAATTATTAATAATTATTGATTATTAATTATTAATAAGGCAAGGGCTTAAATTGTAAGCAAAAAAATAAAAAATGAAGAAGAAACGGTTTTTATTCAAATGTCTTCTAAAATGTTTATATGGACCAACATAATTAACGAGAACGTACATATATAATAATAATATAATATAATATATAATTATAATATTAAAATATTATATATATAATAATATAATGTACATATATATTTTTGCAATTTTTCTTACTTCTTTTTTTAGATACTTTTGTGGTGGGGCCTGAGAAGATTGAGTAAAATATCCATTGATCCTTGACAAATAGTTATCTAGATGAGTACTAGCATGTTTGTACTAAGCAGTTTAACATAGATTAAGTATACTTGCCACTTCTTGGTGGCAACCGAATTGGCTGTTTGCAGTTCAAAGTTGAAGAGATTATGTAGCTTCCTGGCTATTTAGATATATAATAGTACTGACGTTTTTTAATCGCTTTTCTTGTTGAAAAACGAATATGGTAACCTATTGATTAATTAATACATAATTCATTATTCTCCTCGAGTGCACATGATTTGTTAACTGCAATTTTTGTTTTGGTTTAGTGTAATATAAAAAATTTCATTAAATAAAAAAAAAATAAAAAAAAAATGACAAAAAAACTATATACATATATTATATACTCTTCCAAAATCGTCACAAAGCAAAAACTAAATTAATTTTTAACTGTTTTTCGTATATTGTCCGGAATTGTTCACATGTCAGCTTATTTTGAATATGAAATTTCTTCAGAATAAAATTCAATAAATTTTGTTTGTGATATTCTCACCCAATGATTCGTTCAAAGTTTCTGTTTCTGTTTTTGTTTTTGTTTTTGTTTTTAAATAAAAAATTTAATAAATCCAAAGAAAGTCGGAAGCTCTTGGTTATGTAGAGAACGCCAAATCTGTCATGTTCGCATCATTTCTCCCAAAACATAACGTTCACCATTGATCTTGTCTTGTCAAACCAGAGCTCTGACTAAACGCAGATTTGCATATTAACTTGGAAAGATACATTGTATTTTACATAATAAATAAATTTTTTTTTATTAATTTGGACTAAGTTTACTCCACAAAGAACAATCTTAATTAATGCAAAAAAAGAAGCAAAGCATTTTATTTATGTTAATTACTCTTGAGATGTCCGTTTATGTTTGGAGTGACACCTTTTCCCAAATATTTTGTGTGCTTCGCCCTTTTTGCAGTAATAAAATATAGAAGACGTTCCAATATAGAAAGAACCTGACCGAAGATTGGCCAAAATGTACGACGAAGAAAGTAAAAGACCGGCTAAATTATTGAATGATTTGTGAAATGAGATGACATGGGCAGATCACATCTTTCATAATAGAATTTGGATTTGTATATGAGCCACAAAATTTTCTTCTATAAAACGCTAGATTAATTCTAACGGTTCTATTTGCAAAAATTTAAATACCAAAAACAAATTTTTTTCTATTTTAAGTCGGATTCGAAGTAGATTTTGGTATAAAAAGAAATTTCAGTGTTAGATCGATTTAGTAACACTAAAAGACTAAGTTGACCCACAAACGTTATGAGTTCTATGTAAAAATCATAGTAAAAATGGCTTTTGTAAAATTGTTTATAGTTTTGCTGTTAATTGCAGTCATCAGTCTTGGTGAAGGTGGTAAGTTTTTTTGGTAATGACTCCCAAGTGCATATAAAATTCAAAGTTTCGGAATATTACTTTCAATATTGCAGCTAAATTGGATAAAAAAGGACAAGAAGCATTTCGACGTCAGCATAGAAAAAATTTAGTCCACGACAATAATTTGGAAGCAGATGCAGATGTACCTCCAAAGCTAGTACAATCTTGGCAAAGATTCCATGCTCAGAATTATAAAGACGACGCTGACAGCTTTGACATTGATAGTGTCGGTAGTGGCAATACTGGTGATTATTATGAGGCTGAAGATGATATTCCACAAGGTTTATTAAAGAAATGGGCTAGATTCCATGCACATAATAAAGCTGACGGTGATGATGAATTCGAAACGCCAAAGTCCACAGCATCTGATATATCACCGGAATTATTGCAGTCTTGGGTTAGGTTCAACGCAGAGCATGATAGCAATGAAGGTGAACCAATCTCTGTTACTTTCGAGCCTGTTGGGGTTACTCCGCTAGACTCAGATGCAGAAGTTGTAGCGAATACTGCAGTAACACACATCCCAGCGAAATGCTTTGTCGACACCAAGGGACAATTGAAAAGAAAATGCGATGCAGCAATTGCACGGTACAATAAATTACGAAAGAATCGGAAAATTCAACGAAATCAAAGAGTTGAAGTAGACGATGATGATGGTGATGACGCCGACTATGGTAGACATGATGATGATGAAGATGATACCGCTCATTTAGATGTCGCAGATGTAGCACATTTATCGGCCTCACATTCAAATGTAGTAAAACCCAGCCGTTTGCAACGCACGTCGCCAGTCAACGGAAAGGCACTTAGAGGAAGCAGAGTGCAACGTAGACGTAATCAAATGTTACGTAGGCGACGTCAACAGGCTCAGAAACGTCGTCAGCAAACAGTTAATCAAAATCGCAATAGGCGGCGTAGAATACAACAACAAAAACGGAAGCAACAAATACGTAGACGTAGGCAAAAGCAAAAACGTAGACGACAACAGCAAAAACGCAGAAGAATGCAGAAACGTAGGCAACAAATCCGACGTAAACAATGGCAAATACGACGTCGTAACGGAGTGAACAGTAGTGCTTTTGCTGCAGCCCTGAACTAACGATAAACAAAAACAAAATTGTATTAAAAAATAAATTTGACCAAAAATAAGAGAAGTTTGTTTTTCTAATTTAAAGCTGCGCTCCCCATCTAAAGGGGAGATGGGGGAAATCTCCCCTTCATTGTGTTTATCTTAAGCCAAACATGAGTTCGTTCTCGATTCGTTCTACTGACACAATTTTGAACCTCATCTCAACTCATCTCAACTCATCTCAACTCATCTGGCACAAAAGGCTTTTTATAGCTTTCTTGTCATTAAAAACTGGATTTTTCTTTGCCTGCATCCAAGAGACTGAATTTATCTGCGATTTACACTGAATACAATCTGTTAGCGTTTTATGGATCTCGTTTTGCCGCAAATAGTCTTTTTGGGTGGGGTCATTAAACGTATTAAAATCTATTGAACTGAATCTCTTTTTTAGAATTGGTAACAATTTATTCACAGAAACCTAAGTAGGTAGAAACACATTTGCTGTCATTTCAGAAATGTTTGATTTAATGGACATAAAGATGTGGAGACCGCCACATAAGGTGTGGCGGCGGCGTTTAAGCGAAACCCATAAATAAAATTAAAAAAATAATTAGTAGTAATAATTACTTATTTAATTTATTCAAACTATTTAAATAAACAAAATTATAAACTACTTTTATTAAAATTAGTGAAATTTTTTCCTAATCATATAATGTAGGTTATGTATGTTAGTATATTCTTTTTCTCAACCAAATAATATTTTTCTCAATTATTACAAGTTCATTTAATAATATTAATAATATTTTTTTGTTTTATAAAATCATCAGATTTAAATAATTTAAACAGTTGTATAGATAATACGAAATTCGATAGATGGCGAACTCGTCATAAATTCTGTTATTAAAATAATCAAATACAATAATCTGATCTCAACTAATATAACAGTAAAAATACAATTTACAATAATTAAAATGATTCAGCGATAACCTGGAGAAGCTGCGTCAAACTATGGTATCACTTTTAGAAATGGAAATTTTTTGTAATGGAAAATTTCTAAATCCCTTCACGTCCGTATCAAAATAAAAGGATTTGATAACATTTATTGTCACACACTTTTTATAATATATGTAAATATAAACACTACCCATTGACACTAATTTTAAAATGATTTATACTCTGGTCTGAGATTAGAACAGTTTATTGGTCGTCCACAATAGACAAATTTTTAGTCTTAGCAACCATGCGTTGCCAACCATGCTTTTTAGTAAGGCGATTTCAAAAAGCTTGGACTAAATAAACCAGCAGTGTTGTTGTTTCTCATGTTATTTTTAAAATAAGCGGTTGTTCTTTTGTGATATGCTCACAAAAGAAAAGACCTAATGTTGCCTTTAGGCCTTTAGGCAACATTGAACATTAAAGGGTTAATATTAGCTCAGCAGTTGTAGTTATTCATAATTACTTCGTCAGTCAACGGAAATGCTGCTTAATAGTTTCTCGTCTGAGACTTGCTGGGATTTGTAGAACAACTACAGATCCCAGCAATTCTTATTCTGTAATTCTAATTCCTTTTTTTTTAACTAAATAATAATGATGTTATATACATAAGTAGTTGTTTAATTAGCTCTACTTAATTAAAAATCAATGTCCCATTCAATCAATCAATCATGTTAAGAAAAAAGGTTATCAAAGAAAATAACTGTCATAACTTTTGAAATCATTGACGTTTAAACCCGATGCAAGCGTTAAGCTATTTGGATGAATTGCTTTTCGGGAGCTTTTCTTCGAGTGGATTCTTCTTTGGAACCTAGTATTTTGGGAAATTTTGAATACTGAACCTATCTTGTGTATGATTTTTTAGTTTCTTTTGTCTATTCTTTTGGTTATTCTTTGTCGTAAGAGCCGGAAAGATTTGTATGTGAGCATGTATATTATAGTACTCGTAATATAATTCGTAAAACACCTGATGGATTGCAACAGTTTGTTTTGAAAAATGCTTTAAATCAGTATTTTTAGTACATAAAATCCAAAACCCATATAAGATGTAAATTTACGATGTCTTGCTTTACATTGGAAATTTCTGCAAATATGATTTCATTTCATATCCGTCTTTTGTGTCCGGTCACTTAGATTGTGTCTTTTAAATAGCAACATTCACCTCTTAAGGTTCTTAACTGAAATTCCAAAACCATCACATATATGCTAAAGGATTATTGTAGGACAGCAAAACCATTAGCTTAAAGGAAATGCTTATTAAATTCAATTGCCAAAACAATAGCTACGTCACTGTATTCTATAAGGTCTAAATCATAGTATTAAGTGTACTTTAAATAATTTTTAATTAATTAACTTTTACATTTTATTAGAGTTTTTTAAAAAAATGCATTAATTTTATATTTTTAAAATATTTGACTTTTTTTTTGTTATTTGCATATATAATAGGAATAGCTTTTCCTATTCCTTCAGAAATATTTATTTATATATGAAATCTAAAATAATAATCGAATTTCAGGTTTTTACTAAT